TGAGTTTGATCGTTCAATTTTCGCATGCCCGCAATCGATGTGATAAAACGAGAATAGATAAGAATAGACCGAGAACCGCGAATCGAAAAAAACGGTCGTACAGTAATTATTATAATGAGAATGACCTACTCTATACCCATATAAATTTACAAGAGGACGAGCGAACGCGAAAATTTATTTCGTCGAACGTTTGAACATTACGACGAAAATGAGATAAAGCGGTTTTATCGTTCAGCGCGAATATTATGATATGATTGTCGGAAAACCTATAAAAAATATAATGTTGCAATCTAACCACGCGTGTATATAATTTGTTCCATTTGATTAGTACAACGTGCAAACTTCAAATAGAAATTCTTTTGAAAAATGTTGTTCGTGTTATCATGGTTTTGTTAGTAGATGATCCACAGTCCACACGCGGGTCTGTGTATACTATAGTCAAAACGAAAGGGTAAATAACAGTGAAAATCGGAACTTCGTTAGACGCTTTATACAGTTTCAAGGAGTTTAAGTTTTGAAAATCGGATTTCAATGAGGCCCATAAAAAGTCGAACTTATATTTAAAAAAACAACCGTACAATTTAACTATTTTATGTTTATATTTATATTTTTGCCACGAGGCGTGTTGTATAAAATAATTATTTATTGTTTATTTTAAATTAGGGGCCCATTTCTTTTTTCGCACAAAATACACAGCGTCTTTGGCTATTCTAATACCTCCGCCCCCAAATATATCAAATCTCCACCTATGTTTATGACAAAAACAATTTAGGTTATTTGTTTTTTAACTCAAGATTAAAGAATTATTGATATTGTATATTTTGTGAAATGTGGTACGATATATGACACACGGGAATGGGAGCCGCGACCGTCCGAGACGGCGTCTTATGGGATTTTTACGAAACAGGCGCAAATGGCACGAATATTTTGAGAGAATGGGCAGAAGCCTCTCGTAATATCGATTGTGTATACTTTTAATCGATGGCGCCGAAGCCCTAAAAATTTAATCAAGCGAAATACATTTCAAGAAGCGCCAATAACTAAACACAGCCCATTTTAATTCCGAAATTACAATTGGCGTAGTTTTATATTTATGCAATGAAAGTGGCAACCAAACTTTGATCAAAAATGAAGCGGCCCTATATGTAGTTTTAAAAGAAGTCTTGGTAAGGCCCGACCTTCACAAATGATTCGGCGCCACTGCCTCTAGTATTTACTCGACGAGGAATTTGTTTAGAGGAATTGGCTGAATTTCGGGGGATAACCTCCCCATTCGAAGTCATTCGTTTTCAAACAATAGCGTAATATAATATATAGCCAACATTCGACGTTAAACAAGTAATTGATTAGAAACTTAGGTAACTTTTTTTACCGACCCGCAGTGATAGGTGACTGCATTTGTCCAATACTCCCCGACGTCGTTCAGTTTAAATGGAAATATTGTTATAATTATAATGTAAAAAAGTTAGAAGGCTGAGGGAACCGCGGGTCGACTGATTCCAAGACATTGCCGCTAGTACTTACTAACATGCAATTGACCTGCCCTTGACTGTAACCCTCATATTTTATATTATAGACCTTACCTGCGATCTGTGACCCGTTCAAACGACCTAAACTTATATATTAGTCGGTCAGTAGGCCAGGTACATTTTGATATAGACATTATTGTCTTCCCTGTTATCTTTGAAGGTTGAGCGATCAATTTTTGCGCAAAGTCAACGCGGAAAACCAAAAACACCGCGTCTGTCCGAATGTCCAATGATCTCGCTGAACAAATCCCGACATTAATATTATTATTGATATTATCAGGGTTCGTGTCTCATTGGCGTGCTCAAAGTGAGAGGTTAGAGATTACATCCTCCCTATATTGGCTTAAAAATACAACAAAATATGAGAAACTCATAAATTTCAGTCGATTTCCGAGAAAAAGCTTGACGTATTGATCAGTAATTGGCTTTTGTGTAAGAACCAGCTTTTAAATTACCAATTCCCATAGTTAAGTTGGGTAGAGAAGACGGTTTCACTATTTTTTCACGACCGTTATTTGTTACATCCCCTCCAATTGAAAATTCCTGGGCACGCTACTGTCGTGACTTATAGCATTTACTATTTATTAGCATTTGAATACTTATTGTTATTTATTTTTTTTTGAATTGGCATCAAATTTAACAACGGAAATTCATGGAATTTGAAAGCTCTTTTTTTCGCTTATTTTGACAGTTTTTAATGATGAATTTCACTACTTTTCAAAAGGGGTTAATTTTTTTCTACTTCAAAATTACGTAAGTCCAGTGCCATCCATGAGCAAAAAACACAGTTGTTGGTTTATTACGGTGGTTCACAAAGATCTACCGCCTCCCCCCCCCACAACCCTTTCTTCAAGCGTCATACAATATAACGTTTCTAGGCAATTTTCACTCCTCTCTCCCTACTATGGTTTTTAAATAATTTCACCTTTATAATCTACACACCGCGTTTGTCGTTTTGTTTGTTATCTATTATCTGGCTACTTGTCGTGTCCATCTTCGCTGGGTACGGGACAATAAATAGTTCACTATTGTCGTTTGAAAATGTTATTCACAAGTTTCAATATGAAATTTAAAAATTATTGTTTTGATAGTTTAAGGAAACAAAAGTTGTCCAAAGCAATTGTAGGGCTCAATACAATGGAGGTTTGTTAAGTGCTTTGTTGATCATAAGTGCTTTAATCCCGAGCTCTGGATTTTAAATATTTGTTGGAAGAAAACCGGTTTATTTTTTTCCGCCGCGGAAACATTCGGATAATGATAATCATAATTGTGAAACGAACGAGCTCATTAAAAGCGTGACATGTTCGGCATAATGTCGTTAAATGTCATTGTGAAGGTCAGGAAATCTATAACGTCGCGCGGACACTATATAGAGGCAATCTAGAAGCATCTTTATCGAACACGGATTGCGCCGAAAGGAGACACGAGCACTTTGTGAAGATTTCCGCATTTTTTTTTTTTTTTTTTCATCATCCTTTTTACCGTCGCTCTGGTAGGTAAACCGATAAGTCACTTTACGGACCATAATATGAATACAACCGCCGCTGAGCCGTTCGTCGGTTCCGTTGGTTTTACGATGATGTTTGTTTATTTTTTTTTTCTGTGGACAACTTTTTTTTACCGGCAATTTTACTCCGATTTACAATGATAGCACTTTTTCTAAAAGGAAATCCGACTGGTGAGGTACTTTAAGGAGGTCACTTTTTGATTTTTCTAGGAGTTTTCCAATAAATGAGCAAAACGTACGGAAAACGGGAAAACAGACATAATATTTAACATATATTATTAAAAAAATATATATATAATATGTATATGTAATTATTTTACCATAATATGTCGTGTATATGTTATTGTCAAAGCAACGGTATTCGACCGAATTCCGCTCGGAATCGTTTTCTCGTTAAGTAACGGTCAAGTATCGTCACTTCTCACCAACTACATTGGCTGCACCCGACCCCGTCATTCTAGGACGGCTTCTTCTTTTTTTCTATTTTTTCATTGCCCGCGACGATATCGATTTTTTATCGATTCGAATACCTGTGTTACGTATGCTGCGTTCGAAAACGTCAGCGCACGGTGTGATTGGCATTTGCCCGGCCCGGTATTGCAGGCGCGCGCGGTCGTCGGGGACAACGACGTCCCGGACTTTGCGCCCGACAAGTGGACGGTACGCCGGCGGATTTCCGCCGCCGCGGGTTCCCTTTACCGCCGGCAAAACACATACACACATGAGCCACCGTCCGCGCGCAATACCCATACGCAACACGACCGTCGATAACATTTAAGTAGCACGGCGACCGTCGTTAAACCCGACGTCCGGCCGGTTCGCGTGTCTTTTTTCATTATTGGCGAGTTAATTACTAGGAAATACTGTGATATTTTTACCGTCTGACTAACGACGATAGACAAAAAAAAAAAAAAAAAAAAAAAAAAAAAAAAAATACTCAACGGCGATCGTTTTATTTATAGACGTTACGCGGCACTGTTATAGCGAGCGCGACGTACGCCTCTCAATATTATACCGCGTCTGAAACGGGTGAACAAAGGTAACCTACGGCGAAACAAAAAGACCCGCGGATAGCAAAGACAATTATTTGTTACGGTGACGTTTACACTTGTGCCACTGGAAAAATAATAACTGTATTGATCTATTTATGGAAGCAAATTTTCGTCTCGATTTAATTTGCGATAATAATAACCTACAATTAAACGCAAGTAAATCTAAATATGTTTTTTTTAATATTTCTAACAATAACAGTATTTATAATTTTAGTACTAAATTTTCTATTTGTACACACTAATAGTCGTACATATTTAAATGCGCCTAGCAAACGTGTTCATTTCGATTGCGTTTATAATGCGAAATACCTATGTGTAAGTATTGACCGTGGGCTCAAATAGATGTGGAACACATCTATTCAGTAAATAATGCAATTGGAAAATTATTTTATACGTTTAAAATACGACGTGTTGTGTTAGACATAGAAACGTCGTCTTTTTAGTTTTAGGTACAATCTGTCTACTCGTGTCGTTCATTGGGGCGTGTGTGTGGCGGTACTTATTCCGGTCACATTAACGTATTAAATATCACTTTTAGTTCTTTGATTAAAATTATTTAAAATAAACCTACATTGTATTCAACTGTTTTATTGTAATATTCTGATCTCAATAATCGAACTTTCAATTTGGAACATGAACGTCAAACTTTATTATACGCGTTTAAAGTTAAATCTATTATTAGTGATTATCAACTTTATCTCACGCTTACAATACACGATTAAAAACCAATAACAAACTTGGTGTGCCTTTTAATAAAACCGAATTTGGGAATTTTGGGGATTTTATTATTACGAAAATTTAACATAAATGCTTTTACTCTTTTAATAATTTTTAGCATTATAAAAATCACGTATTTCGTGTTACAATAGTTTAACTTTTTTCATTTTGTATTTAATTTAAGTTTTGTGTTTTGTTTGTTTGATTTTGTTAACTTTATTTAATTTATGAACTCAACTCATACGGCACAAGCTTAGCTTATAGGATGAGTTTGCAACTTTATGTTACTTTGTTACTGGTTTTTTTTATTCTGTAATTTTGGTTGCTTCAATATATATTATTATTATTTATTTAATAATTTAAATAATATTTAAATTCAATTGTGTGTACAGTTATAACTCTCTATAACGGTGTCCTCGTAAGGCGGAAATCTCCTTAAAACTGAAAACAACAGTAGCTTTGACCTGGTGGACGCCCTTCCAGCTTAAGGAGGTTTCACTGTATTATATTAATTTATTATTATTATTGTATTATTGTTATATTTTTTATTTTCGCCTTTTTTTTTTTTTATTATTGATTAATCGATTGTCTCGTTCGCTTTTATTATTTAAAAATGTCACCTTGTTAATAATTAATATTGTTGTCTGTTGTTGGAATCGTTAATTATTGTCGTTGTATTGGTTTAATGCCACTGGATTCCAAATGTTTTCCCAATCTCACTAATTATATCGACGGTGATCTGTTAAAAGGACGTCTATCAAATCACACATTTTTTCAGAAACCAAAAAAAAAAAAAAAAAACCAGCCAAACAGTTTTTAATGATGTTTATCATGGAAAACAACAAAATTACTCGTACGTATAATGCCTTGCAAACAATAAGTATTCATGCATTGAATGTGGTGTAACAAAACAAACGAAACCTTTAAACAAATCAGTGTTGATTTAATTATATTTTAAAAGGGCGCCAGGATATCACTTATTTGACATTATCAACTTATTTTTTTGTGTTTAAATACGTCCTTTTACATGCAGTTAATAATCCTAATTTTTCTGATTTTTTTCGATATCAAAAATGTATTTTTCGATTTGTAGTGGTATACGCTCTTTTGACAAAACACCATCGATATAATCCTTAAATTCAATCGTTGGAGACTACGAGGACGGGAAACGAACACTTGAAAATGTGCCCTGGACGCAATTCCGTATATTATTATAATAAAGATTTTGATTTTTAAATTTTATTTTTTATATTATAATTTACATTTGTTTTTAAAGATTTTAGATTCTGAGCGAATCGTGGAATGTATTCATTTTACTATGTTTTGACGTGTTTATTATTATTATTATTATTTTTTTTTTGTATGTCTATTAACAACATTTCACCAGAAATTTGGCTCCAATTTTCATATTAGACCAGCATTAACCCCGCTCATATCAACAATATATACTTGTAGGTTAGGTGTATAGTAAACTAGACGGTTTTTTTCTTTTCAACACATTTTATTACAAAAAATAAATAGCTAAAATGCCTAATATATAATAATAAATACAATACATAGAACTAGTTAAATAATAAAAAAATAGTAGGTACACGTAAACATACAAAATATAAAAAGGAAAACAAAATTACAAAACGCACGTAATATAATTTTTATACACCGAGGTACCTACATTATAAAAAAAATTGTCGTACACTTGGCTTTAGTATTGGTATTCGTGATTTTTTTTTTTTTATTTTCGGACTCGTCGTAGATGCATCGAACACGGTTTTTTGATCTGTGAACAATAAAATAAAAAAAAACCGTTATTGTGTGTGACAACATTATGTGCGATAGGATAGCCAAAAGGTATCCTATTAAAAAGACTCCCGTAAAGACGTACGCGATTTTTAAACAAGTTTCCTTTGTATCGGCCGAAGAACATTTGTCTACGTTTTTTTTTTTTTTTTAATTATTTATGCGCACTACTGAATGTCGAGGAATCCGACCGAAATCCCGAACGTTTTACTGTCGCAAACAAAATCGATCCGATTGGAAAATGCTCCGACCGACACAAGCCGTAGTAAAAGAACAAGTGAACTTGTTTGTGAATACCAACGTGACCAACGCAAAAACTAATGTGAGAAAAATCGCCTCACCTTTTTATTTTACGCACGATCACGGACGGCGGACGGTCGTTCGCTTTTGCGGAAAACCGAATCACGTACTACAATGGATAAGTGTGCGTCGTCATCGGCGGATCTATTTCGACGTTATCGCGTGTTCGGGCCGTTATTGTATCTGTACAAAAAAAAAAACAAAACAAAAAAACCATTAAAACACCGTTTTTTTTTTTTTTTTTTTACATAATTTATTATTATAAATAATGAATACCGGCGGCGGCGGCGGTGCGGTTTAACGACGGCTTTATTCAAAACGACTATTTACGTCTCGGGAATTAAGTTTTTTTTTTAGAAGAAAAAATAATAATAATAATAATTTCGATACAGGCGCGTATAACGCGTCGCGTACGTAACAGTTTTTTACATAATATTACGCAGCGGCCGAAATATTTGCGTATTTCGTTCCGAGGCGGAGTGTGACGCCCTCTCTGTCACGCGGAGCGCGACTCTAGTGCGGAGCGCGGAAGAAGAAAAAAAAAATCGGGTAACGAATGAAACGCGAGGTCGCCAATTATTATTAATTTTTTTCTTTCTCCACGTTCCCGGCCGTCGCGGTCGTCGTCGACCGCCGCAGAAAAGATCCTAGGCGAATCGTTCGCGCGTCGGGGGAAAAAAAAAAACCGCGCGGCCGCCGACGCCCTCCCGCGAAAATATAATCGAAAACCGCGCGGTTCGAACGCGGACACACACCCCCCCCCCACCCCCGTTTCGGACGTTGTTGCGCGCCGGACGGTCGCCCGCGGCACGCGTCGTCGTTTCGAGTTTTTCGCTTCGGGATGTTTTTCCCGACCCCGGCCGCGAATTCCGGACGGACGTCCGGTCCGCGAAACGCGGTTCGTTTTTCCGCCGCGTAAAAGCCCGCGGGACCGGTGCGCGCAGACGCGAGCTCGTGAGTAACGAACGGGGTGCGCCGTCCGACGGGTAGAAAACGACTCGTTAGAATAAAAAAAAAAATCCGACCGCGCGTCACGAACTTTCGTCGGTTCGCGAACGGGTTCCATTGCTGTTATTATTTCCCCCCCTCCCTTCCCGCGTTTTCGTTAATGTCCCGGCCGCAGTCGTTGGCGATATCCGCGTCGCCCGTCGGCCGTAATGGATTCCGCGATAAGGCGTCGAACTCCGGCGGCTGTACGATTATTTATTATTATAACGACAACAATGACGAATCGTCGTGACTGCCGATCGAACGGTTAAGAAATGTGAAAAGACGTGAAAAAAACGTGTTTCCCCGCGATTCGCCCGTTTCCCCGTCGCCGCGTTCGTCGACGCCCCGCGAACGGCCTAAACGCGCAGCCCGGACAATTTTTTTTCTTTCCGAACGCTGTTGTTGTTCGGCCGCGAATAAAAACAAAACCGAACCGAACCCGACGGAAGAAAGAAAGGCAGGAAAAAAAAAAAACAACAAACAAACAAAACGAACCGATAACGCGGACCGCGGACGAGGCCCGGAGGACCGGCCCGGCCTCTCCGCGCCGATCGTCCGTCACGCCGCACGGATAATTCGTCCCCCGCTCTCACCCCCCCGCGGACGATTTCGGAAATTCCGCGACCGCGCGCGCAACGGTCGACGGCGGGTTTTTTCGTCCCCCGCGCAATTTTTTCATTACGCGTACTGCGTGGTACGTACACACACGCGGTATACGGGTACGTGAGTATGACCAACGGAGAGTAACGCCGTGAGCGCGGAACCGTTCGCGGTAAAAGCCGTCGGTGTCGCGGTCACGCGTGGCCGCAAAACCCGCTGCAAACGCCGATCGAGTACCGCGCGTCGGCCCGAGAAATAGCCGCGCCGGGTGACGTTGCGGTTACGGTATCGCCGCCAAAGGTTCACCGTCGGACGGCCCGACGCGCGCGTACGCATTGTAAATATTGTCACGGTGATAATTGTCTACCGCGTGCGCGCCGCAGAGTCCGCCCGGCGGTTTCGTCGGGTTTCACGCGCGGTCCATGGGGGTTTCCGGGGTTCGTCTGTTCGGGATTGTTTTTTTTTTACGAATTTTTTTCCACCGTATTTCCGGCACCGCGACAAACGCTTCGCCGCGCGTTCGGCACCGGTTCGTCGCGACCGACGCCAACAAAAAACGGCCGTCGTTCGACCGGAAAACGCGACGCGAAAGCGCGCGCCAATCGTGACCGTGTGCCGCAAATGTTCGCCCTCCGCGATGAGCCCCCCCACCCCCGGGCGAAAAGCCCCGACCCCGAAAGCCCTGCGGCTCGTCGTCGACCGTCGGTGACGGCCGATTCGCCGCGCATAGAGGAAGTCGGCGGTTCTATTGTCGGCCGTTCATTTCGTAACGCGACGTGACCTTTCCACGGTTCCCGGACGGATAAAATCAACTCCGGGCTCGCGTGCGACGGTATTTCATCGCCGTCGTCCGATGTGCCCGTGTTCGGAACGACGACGGTGCACACGGATAACCGATCCGAGGAATTCGTTTGGCGTCTCGCTCGGCGCGGCGGACACGCGTTAACCTCGGCGGCGGCGGAAGGAGGGGAAAAACGACCGCGGCCGTACCCCTTAATGTGCGTTGTAAGACGGTTTCGATTTAAAAAAAAAAAAAAAAACAACCGCCGATCACGCGTTACGCGCAAGCCCGAACACTCGATAAAACGATGCGCTTTTCGCATTATCGTTACGATAACGTTACGATGCGATTGCGATAAACGTGACGGGCGGGGGGGGAGGGACCGATAATAACGTCCGATGTGAAAAAAATCGCGTGCTGCGGGCGCAATATTTACGGGCAACAGTTGATTATCATGTTTTCGTTTTCAGTGGCGATTACCGCAGCGAGAGGAGTTCGTCGTTCGCCCACCCCGGGTATCAGCGATTGGCGTGCAGAGGGGAACTCGGTTCGTACGGTTCCGCGCACGTTTCCCTCTCCCCCACGGACGTTTCACGAAACGCGCCCGGCGAAATCGAAAAAATAACCCCCCCCGCGAAGCGCCGACCGGCCGCCGCGGCGCGAAACCGAGTCGGCCCCGAAATAATAATAACGGCGAATCGCGATCACTCACCTCTCAAGATGTCCGCTGTGACGGTGTGACGAAGTCGGTCGATAACAGTCTCGCATCGCGGTGGTCCGGTGCGGTCCGACCGCGACTGTAGCGGGCACGCCGTTGTCATTCCCGTCGTCCCGGCGATGTCTTCACCGCCCGCGTTTCCCGGGCGATTTCCGTCACGCGCGGAGACGGAAAAACGCACGGCGCACGTTTTCGTAATTTTCGTTTGTTTTTCGTCTCTCGCGCGGTCCCTGGGGCGTGCGACTCGCACGTAGAAAAGCCGCGTCCGCTGTTGCGGCCGTAGAAAAGCCGCGTCCGCTGCTGCGGTTGTAGCCCGGCGATGACGACGGCAGTGGCGATACGGCGCACTGATACGGGTTTTTCCGACGTAGTGGCGCGCGGTCGTCACCCGCATAGCGTTTACGTGTTTTTTACAACAATGAAAACGCGAGCGCGTAAGAGGAGAAAAAAAAAAAACGTTTTATAGGAACTTTGGGGGTTTCGGACGTGTGTAAATTTCGCGTCGCGTATAAATATACATGTGTGTGTGTGTGTATGTGTGTGTGAGTGTGGGCGCGCGTGTATAAACGCGCGAAAGACTCGCCCGCCAAAAAGGGCCGCGACGCTCTCCGTCCCCGCTTTTCTTCTTAACGTTTGCGTTTTTCCGCCGTCGTCGCGGCCGTTCTCCTGCCGCCGCCGGGCTTCTTCTTGCCGCCGTTCAACATGGCGTCGAACTTTTTCGTGTTGTTCGAGTTGATCGACAACAGTTTATCGATCACCTGTCTGAGGGTCGAGTGTTTCCGGATCCACGGGTTCGGGTACATGACGGCGAATACTCGCTGTACGGGCCGCGTAATGTTTTCCTGGAGTTTGCCGGAGTTCCGCCGGGAGGGGGGCGGGGTCGCGTCGTAATATCGTACGCGTAACACCTACGGACGAAAATCGAAAATCCGATGGCGAAACGAGAAATGAAATTTCCAAAAAAAAAAAAAATACCGAAGAAAATCCGCCTTGCGGTAATATTGTGTCAATACACCGTGTATTCGGTGTTGTTGGCACGTTCGCGTTCGCGTTTCGTCGAATATCCAAGAACCGTAGCGCGTTGCAAAATCGTATTCACTCAGCTGTGCTCGCGGTCGACGGGATCGCAGACTGACGGAATATTACGGTGTTCGGCGCGGCGCTGTTCCTCTGATATTGACATTGAACTCGGTACTGACCACGAGCGGACGCGCGGACCGCCGTTTTATAAAACGTCGCGGTAACCGTGACCGCGCGCGCGCTCGTGCGTCCGTTCGCCGAACGGCCGGTCGAAGCTCGGTGGGGGGCGCGCGCCGTAGCGGCGGCGACGGTTGCGGCAGCGGCGGCGACGGTCGCGGTCCCGCCGGCCGGTCTAGAATTATTATTATTGTTATTATCGTTATTTTAACGACGGTAGGAGGGGGTGAGGGGTTGAGCGACGGATAGTATCGGCCAAACGAACGGTCGCACGGCCGATAACGGCTCGGCTTTTGACCGTCGAAAAATGTATCGGACGGTTTTGTTTTTGTTTTTTTTTTTCTACCGAACCATCGGCGTAAAAAACGTATTCGAATAGTCGTGGGGCCGGGATTTATTTTTACGCTCCAGAAAAACCTTGGCAATACGCACTATGCAATTGGCGTTTGTGCTCATGTATCGCAGAAACACGGGCACTCTTTAAAATGAAACGTGAGCGATAAAACAAATCGTTTTTTAATTTGTATTATTGGCTTACGACAAAATTCGATTAAAAAAAAAAAAATTTAAAAAATAAATATTTTATTTTCATTATTTCTATCATTGTTTTTGAGTTAACATAAATATAACCAAACCATTACATATTTTGCATTCAAAAACCCATGCACGCGCAACGGAAAATCGTGAACTGCAGAAATACGCCATTACGCGTCGAGAAATAGCGAAATATGCAAATCAAAACTTTTTATTTCAGTTCCGTTGGTCACCGCGATTCGAACTTACTTATCTAGTTACTTTTTGGACTGTCGGAAAAAAAAAAAAACAAAACAAAACCACGCGAACGTATACATTATAAATGTAATGGCAGTGACACTCGGTAATAAAACTCGTCACGACTTAACGCGGTCTACCGTACCCGGTTCATGATTCGCGGCACGGATAAACCGATCTCGACGGTCGTCGGTTCCCTCGTTTTTTTTTTTTTTTTTTAAACACACGGTAAAACTTTCGTCGCGGCCGCGTAACGGTCGTTCGCGTTACCGGAAGAATACGTTGCAGATATCCTCTCACTCACTCTCTCTTTCTCTCTCTCTCTCTCTCTCTCTCTCTCTGTCTGTGTCTCTGTCTCTCTCGCTCACCCGACACAGCCGGGCACTCCGAACAACGGTCGACGCATAAACATCCGAAAAAAACCGATAGAACAACAACGTGTTTGCGCGGAATAACGGAAATAATTTAGCGGTTCGCCCGAGTCGTTTGCCGCCGTTTTACGCAGTGTGACCGCGCGCCGTCTCCTCGAACCGTCACGACAGCGCACACGGTGTACCGCGACACTATCGCGAGCCGCGGTCCCCGGGCGCGCGGCGGCCGTTTTCGTTCCCGTTTGCTTTTCGGACGGACGTCCGCTCACCGCGCGACTTATTATTCGGCTTCGTGTTCACACGCGGGCGTGGCGAACACACGTTCGGTGTTTCGCGGGGGCTGTTTTTTTTTATAATTCGCGCGTATCACCGACGTCGCATTGCGTGTAATTAATGCGTATTTCGTTACGCGTTAGCCTGTTACAAAAAAAAAAAAGTCCGGTCCGAGACCGATTCAATACAAAAATATTGAAAACACTTTTTCCGTAATTGACGGGTGTTTATTTTTGCACACCAGTAAAGCGAGCTAGCACCCCGTCATATTTATACAACGCGTACGTCAGTGTTGTTTATACCGCGGCGGTTTACCGTGGCCTCTTGAAATTCTTTTCCCTGTTTTTCTTCTTCGAAAGACTGCCCTTCCACCGCCTGTGGTAAATCAGAAACCAACATGAGAATTCCATAAAAAAAAAAAAAAAAAAACACCGTCTAGATGTTGCACATGGAGTTTCTCAACTCTACCCGTATCGAGTAAACATCAGATGCCATACTCCGTTCCCCCGTAACTTTTATTGTCCCCCCGTATCCGTCTCCGGAAAAATACTCCTCCGGTGAGACCTCACCTCCCCGGAGGAGAAGCACCGGGAGTTCGGGACCGGAGCCTCCGTTCGGGCGCTGGGTATAGCGAATAATTCCATGAAAACTGTAGAAAATATATTGGGTAGATACTTACCGAACTGATCAGCATATTTTTGGGTCGGCAATCGGCATGTTGAAACAGTTCATATAAGTCGGTAATAATTTGTAATGCAACTTAAATAATACATTGCACGTAGTCAGCAGATATCCTAATGTAATAACTTTTACATTTAAATTATATTTGAACGGTTTTTTTTTTTACGTTATTTTTATTTTGTATTCCAGGAGATTTTTTTTTTTAATCGGGCAACGAAATGATTAGATGGTACTTTCAAAAACTAGTTACGTTAGCACATCGTTTCCATTGAAACTCGATATGTGACGATAGTCAATTAGATTTTTCGATGGACATTTTGTTATTTACACATACGTTTTCGGATAAATTAACGTTTAAATTTAGTATTTTAAATTTGCGGACATTCGTCCACAACACGTAATTGATTTACGAAATCAAATGCGTTTAATAAAAGCGAAATACTATGCACGTATAACGTTTCCGAAAAACCGGAAAGAAAGTCACAGGTAAAACGGCAAATATTTGCGGCGCGGCGTTTCTATTTTATTGTTTATAATGTTTGCAAACTACGACGTTTTCTACCATAAATATTGCATCGATATAAAAAACCACAAGAGATATTTTTTATTGAACTTTTCATCTAGTTTGCGAGTAATCAAGTAGTTTTCGTAATAATCGAGAAAAACCCGAGGAAAAAACGAATGTGAAAACTGAAAAATTTGCGACGTCACGATTTCATTGTTTTAAATTTTGCTTATGGTTTTGCAAAGAGGTTTATTTTTTTTTTTCTGCGGAAAGCTTTTCTACTGGAGGACTTGCTCCGATTTTTACGTGTCGCGACTTTTCTGAAAGGAAATTTCGCTAGGGAGGTACTTTAAAGAGGTCGTTTTTCCATTTTCCCCGGAGTTTTCTCCGTAAATGTAAACAACCGGGTAAACCGGGAAAATCGGCGCAACATTAATCAAATATTGCCAAAGAAATTATATAGAGCCTATTGAATTATTTTACCGTAATACGGCGTATATAACTATTGGCGACATAGTGTCTATCAACCATCAACCGAACTCGGCACAGAACCGTTTCGTCAATATTCGGCGTTGAAGCATTCGAGAGCGGGCGCGCCGGCGAAACGGTGCCGGTTTTACGTTTCCGTTCCCGGACAGTTGTTTTGCTGCGGCCTGGTGCGGCCCGCGGATCCGCATGCCCCGCAACCGACGTCCGGTTAAAATATCGACCGCGGTAACGACGAAAACACGACGTACGGTAAACACCCGCACGCGCGCGGATTTTTAACAAATATTTTTGTTTACATTTTTGTTTTTTTCGCCCGCCGGTCCTACGCGCTACGTCACAAAAACGTCACGTCTCGGTCTGACGCGCGCACACGCTCCGAGGGTTAAGTTCAAGACCGACGGACGCGCCGTCACGGTGCGCGGTCGGGCGCGGCAACGCAATGGCGTAACACGTAAAACGCGAGCGCGCGGCGCACTTCGGTTTGCTTGCTGGGGTTTTCACGCGAGTCGACAAGTGTCGACGCGCGTCACGATACCCGTATGAATATATTACGGGTGAGGAAAAAAAAAAAATTAATAAAAAACGGCCAGAGCTCATTGTAATTAATATCGCTACAGGTACCCGATCGCGTGACACTCGCGGGCCCGTGGAATCGAAATCATTATTGCCGGCAACCTGTCTGTTGCGGCGAATAAAGTGCCGCGACAATAAATCCGTCACGGCCCGCGTTCGGCGCAAACGGTGGACTTTGGAAATCAAAAAAATGACCTCCCTAAAATACCAGAGAAAGTGCTAAAATTGCCGGTAGAAAAGTTGATCGCGGGGGGAAAAAAAAAACATCACTGTAAAACCAATACGTTCCTCGCTCCGTCCAGATTTATTTAAAAATACCCCGATATTAAATATAATACCATTAAGCACGCGGTCGAGAAAGCGCCGTCGTAAATTTAGATTAAACGTTTGTTATAAGGAATCAACAATACTTTTACCTATTTCGATCGAATAAGCATTAGAAAATATATAATCGTTCGATGTCAAAGGTAAACGATCGAATAAAAGCAGTCGAATATCGTTCGAGAATACGAATCCCGACGGATATCGAAAAAGTATCGGTTTTCTACTGACTTTCGACCGAAAGCCGGTTTCGATACGTTTGACAACAGGCTCTCAGGACATGTAAAAAAAAAAAAAAACATATTAAAATACTGTTTACCGCGTTGTGTTGTACATTCTCCGGGTCATCACGTACGCCAGCCCGGACTCGGAATGTGTTTGAGACAGCAGTGACGTCAAGTTCTTCGAAGAAAAAAAAAACCGGCGGGTCCGAATCGTCGTGTAGTTATGAAACTACCCGCCTACTGAGGGTCGAAAACTGGAGGGTACGGATATCGGACCCCCCTCTCCCTTAGAGCTTATATAATTTAGAAGAAGGAATTATACTAAATTACTAAAATACATTTTTAACGTGCGTAAAAAATAGTATTTACATTTATTTTTAGCTCCACTTAATTCCCAG